CCATAAAGCGTGGAGTGATGGTGGTTCATGTTAAATTTTAACGGTTTTGATTCAATGGACATCAATAATTTCAAGAACATATTAAAATAAATACATATACATCAAAACCTTGCAATATTTACCTTTATAGTTTGCCCAGTAGGTGGAAGGGGATTTTCTTGGTACAGAGCACTATTGGGACTCTCCCTTCCTTTGTTTCTACCAGACTCTTCCCCATTGTTTTCCATCCTATCAGTAATTTATAAAAAATATTTACATAAACTTTTTAACAATTTACATATAATTTCACATTTACTTTATTTAATTATTCAAGATTTAATTGGTTATTAATGTAACAATATATGATATAAAAAAATTAAGAAATAATGTCAAACATTTCTATTGTTAACGAACTCTCTTTAAAGAAGTATTAAAAATAAGTATCAAACATCTCGTTAAAAGCTTGATGTTTTCTTATACTTAATTAGAATCTAATTAAGTTTGGACATTTTATGTTTACAAAGTTTACAAGTGTTACAAAGTTTATGACAGCAAAAAAAGAATGAAAACATTGCTTTAACTTATGAAGCATTAATTTTATGCTATTATATGCACATAAAAAAATAATATTAATGAAGTTTAATAAAGGCAAACACTTGGGGAAAAAAAAGGAAAGCTAGGAAAAACAGCTTACAAATCTTAAATAAAAGCTGATATAATGTCTTACCTATATAAAAATAGTTATAACAATAAAGTTAATTACAAAAAATATTACAAAATACTTGAAAATCATACTTAGGTTTCTTGACTGCTACAGAATCTTCATCATATTTCCTGTAAATACAAAAATAATAATTAATTTTAAAAACCTATTTTGAGTTAAAATATAAAAAACTTTTCAAAGACAACATTAACCCATTGACGGTTCTGCAAGTAAAAAGTCTCGATTCAACTTGCAGTCGTCTCTACGTAGCAAAACTAGTTTTTCCATGTTAGTAGATAGGGGAATATTTATTGCTAAACCACCCATTTTTAAAAATGCTTAAATCACCATTTTTTAGCAAATTTTGCCCATTTGCTAAACCGTCAGCAGGTTAAAAACAGAATAATCAATTCCAGCTTATTAAATTTGCAGATTATACCAGCCTTTTCATAGTATTTGACAATAAATTTGATTTTATTTTCTTAAAAAAAATATCTAGCATTGTTAAATTTATTAAATATTATATTTTCATCAAGTACACACAGTCGTAAAAAACTAATTCCTGGGATTTAACAAAGCATTATGAAAAAATTATTGGTAGATTTAACTCATATGAATTGAAAGATTTAATTCATAACATTTAAGAAAATAAAAATAAATAAATAACAGAAAATTGATATCACAAACCTTTTAGCATCATCATCATTCTTTAGACTTGGACCATCATATCCTCTGCGATTAAAATAATTCATCATTAAAATAAATAACAAGGAATAAGATTCTTTAATAAAATAAGATACACTTATTAGAACTGTGTTTCCATAAGTAAAAACCAATAAAATAAGCAGCAATAAGTCTTAAATATAAGCATAATTAAGAACAAAGTTTCATGAATTTAAAAAAAAATTTAAACAATAAAGTTGGTATTTAAAATGGCAGTAGAATACAGAAATTTGTCAAAATGAACCTAAATCCGATCTTAATGTCCAAATACATTGATGTAAAAAGAGAAAATTTCCTTTAAACATATCACTAATTTAAATAATTCTACAAAAAAATTAGTGTTGTAAAATAAAGGTATTTCATTATAAGATAAATTTAAGCTTAGTTTTTAACCTAAAAGTTAAGTTTTTTTGCATTTAAGTAAGTATTTATAAGGTCAATCAACATCTTTTACAATATCCATTCAACACTTGATAAAATAAAAGCACATCACTTAGAGTTAAAATATTCATTAAATTTTTTATTGCAGTAATAAGTTAATTACATTGCATTACTTTAGACATCTTTGAAGTATGCTACATCTAAATCTTTAGAACAAAAAATAAAAAACTAGCCTTACAAAGATAATTTTATAAAAATGTGTAAAAAAAAAAATAGGTAATAGTTTGTAAAAAGGTATCCCTCGTAATTTGATAATTACTGATGTTTTGGCAGAAAACAGGAAAAATGACTAAAAGGTAAAATTTCTAATAATAAAAAATCTTGATCAAAGTGATATAGTAAGGGCTACAGTTCCCAATCTAAGTTATACCCCATTTTACACCTTAACCAAAAATTTTAATTAGTAGTGAAACAACCACAAACGTCATTATTTGCCACAAACGTACTATTGAAACAACCACAAACGTCATGCTATTTCATGCATTTAAAATATAAATAAAAAAGTTTACCTTGGTTTAAGCCTGCAAATATACAATTCAAAACCATAAATACCAAACTCTTAGCTTAATTTGTTTTTTAAAAAAAAATACTACAAAATTCTGAAATATTATAAACATAACATGATTTGCAATCAACATATCGCTATAACCACAGCAAAATAAATTAAAATTTTATATTTCGGATATGTTTATCTCAGTGAATAAGAGATAATAGAATTTAGTCTATAATAATACGACGACATTCATAGAACTAATATTAAATTAAATAAAGAATGTTTCTAAGGCACAATAGCATTCCGGTGTCTAGCTTTTAAATGTCAACAATATTAAGCCTACTAATTTCATTTTATCTAAACTTACTTTCTAACAATTGGAGTATCAAGCTCAATTCGTTGCTTTTTTCGAGACATTGAATTTTCTTAAAAATTTTAAACTCTGCTGTTAATAACGTGTTCAATTTACGTAATAAATTAAGTTCTGAAATTTTTTGTCTACAATGCCCCGTCCATCAACATCAACAAAAATTTATTAAGTGGCTGTTGCCATAAAGCGTGGAGTGAACAAAAATAATAATCATAGTTACCACTTTTTAAGGATCATTCTTACTAACTGTACTCATCCGCATGCGAAGAAGACAAAATACTGAAATACCATTCTCGCTGTCCATGGACATTTCGCGTATGCAAATTGAATGAAAATTTGATGGGTGAAATACATTACTTCTCTGAAAAAACAAACCGACCATATTCTCTGAATTGGGTATACGATAGCCTACGTAACAGATCGTGTTATTCCTACTAAATTTAACTAGTAAACAGCATTTTCTTGTTATAAGTCGCTACTCGCCAGGTTGGAATTGTATTAGTCTAGTTCCTTTGGAAATAATTTATATTGTTGTTTTAAAAACTTCCCTTTCTCCTATTTTCTTTTCCTTTTTTGCCCCCTCCACATTAATTAATTAATCAAAAATATTTACAGTTCTACTGGCCTTGCATGCGATTGAGATGAAGACAGTACATCGGAGCATCCAGGGTTAAAGCAAGATTCTCACCCGCAATCACCACGCTTCAATGCATTCAGCGGAACAGAAGCACCGCTTAGATAATAAGGCCCCTAAATACAAGCTGTGGCTATAAATGTCCATGACTATAACAACGAAACTTTTGAGATCCTGGTTTTGAAGGACCAACAACATCCAATCTACAGAATGTACATCAATTCTAACATTGGCAAAGAAACTATCGTGGCTTGCATTTTGACACAAATCAACTCAATCGTGGCTTTCGTTTTGACCAATGTTACCAAAAAAAAAAAAAAGAAACAAATACTTATTGCACTCATATTATATAAAACATAGAATAAATTTGCTTGTTGTACAACAAAAACTGAACTGTCTATGTACGTACAAAAACACCGTAGCTTGCGATTGCTTTCGTACAACTTCTTTTGCGATGTTTTTGGCGCAAACCCTTTCTCTCTCCTATTGTTGCCAACACTACTGCGAAAGGGGTGGGAGCCGACTATCGATCAAGCATGTACTTTTTCTGAAAATGGACCCGGCATCCAGAACGAGAAATTCGTGCCGGAGCGTCATGTTGTTTAGAGTTATTAGCCCAAGATCGTTACCCGGTAACGTCTTTGGAGTTTGCTTCGACATACGCTGACTCAATTTTATCCTCCCATACACAAATATCGTTATTGTTCTGGCATATGGTCCATGGTATGGTGCTAGTAAATAGGTTTTCTGCATGAATAATGTCTCAAAAAGACGTTCAAGAAGAATAAGTTTCCCTGGATCAAAAATTGCTTAAATCGTGGATGTTTGCGAGGACTTCTAATGGATTTTTTGTAGGCCGAGGCTTGCATTAAGAGGTAACTCAAATTGACTGCTTGGTGTGTATTTATCAGTCCCGGAACACCAACTCTTGGTATCCACTCATGTAATAAGTGGTTGCGACAATTTCAGCAGTCATATGAGTGATGGGATAAGCTTCTGGCTATCTAGTATAACGATCAATGGCTGTATGCAATAGAGAAAATCCAAGTGAAGATGGAATCGGTTCAACGATATTCAGATGCCAGAGCCAAATTTAAGTTTAGTGGGGCCCATAAGCTATTAAAGATAGTACGGCCCTTAAAAGTTCAACGTCATTTTCCATATTTTTTTTTTATTGTTAATTACTAGACATCAAATTGCTTACTCGATAAAGCATTTGAAAATATTATCTTCTTAGATAAAAATTTCGTAAGAGCCATTGTCGCTGTTTTAAATGTTCAAGTCCGCATTAAACATATAAAATATCCTCAGAGAACGACGGATCATGGGTTAAAATGCCCTTTGCCTTCGGGTTAGTTCCATCAAAAAGTCATCCATGGAGGCTAATTTGCACCAATGTCTCTTCTAGATTGGGTTTAAAATTACAAGGCTACGAAATTGAACACACATAGTCATAAACTCAGAATTTGGTCGCTGTTCAATGCCAGCTATGAAAGAAAAATATAAAAATTATGGTATATACAGAAAGTATGGGAATAAAAAAAAAATAATTATTAACTGTTGGAAAATGTAGCAAAAAGTAACACGCACACCGCAAGAGTGAAATTAGACTTCGAATTTGACATACTGGAAGGTCATTTTTAATAATAAACTAAGGAAAAGCTTTTTTTTTCTTGTTGAAATTTTAATTTCCTCGAAAGTATTGATTAAGACTTATAAACTTGTAACTACGAAAGTAAAAGTAGTATGAGGAGATAAAAAAAAAATTCGATTCAAGAATAGTTAACCATTGTAAAAAATGACACATGTGCTAATCTACTGCTGGCATAAGTGCAACTGACAGTTTTATTTATGGACTTAAAGAAATATTTTTAAAACTATAATTTTCTCAAAAATTATTGCAAATTTAAGTGCTTCTTTTCGGGAATATATATAGATATAACTTCGTTTTTACTGCAAAAAATGATTATTGATCCATTGTTGTTGAAAAATAAAATTTTTCTTTCTCAAGATATGTTGTTTAAAAGCTCGCACTTGACTTGACATAAAAAAAATTAAAAAAGAAGAAATTAAATGTTTTCTAAAATTAATCTAAATATTTAAGGAGCCTAATGGAAGAACCAGGTAAGTGACACTTACAGAGTATCTATAATCAGGATAAGAAGAAAAAAATTAGAATGTGAAATATTTTATAATAGACAATTTTGAAGGAAGCTAATAATCCCTTGTCTACTTTATTTAATACTATCTAATTTGAAATAAAAATCAAGCAAGTATACTTGAAACTCATGTGAATTAGTTATGTTATATAGTTTCCAATTTAATATAATATGGTTATTAATTTCACATAAATAATATAAGGTTATGATTACAAATAACACGTAAAATTAATTCTCATTTATAACTTTTCATTATGTCATACATTCCGTGTTCCGCTTCTCTTAAAATTAATTTTGTAAATTTTGTTACTAAATTTTAAGAGTTTCTAAAAATATAGACCAGTATGCATAATTATACCTTTTAGAATTGATAAATCCAAAAGGATAATATTTTTTATTTTTTACTATTTACAACAATTGGATTTTTTTACAGAGCGTTTTATGTTCCAAGCTCAGCAGTCAATTTGTGACACATCTCTTCATACTTAGAAGCAGGGAACAACATAACTCTTCGCTTTCTATGACCTTCTTTATCTTCATCTGTCCAAGCACCACTAAGACCACTGTCCAGTTCACTTGCCACAGAAAAATCAAAAGAAATAGTGGCTACCTGTAATTAGTATAAGTTTTAAATAAATATGTAATAGTGGCTACCTGTAATTAGTATAAGTTTTAAATAAATATGTAAAACAGAATGGCAAAAATATTTAATTAATAGTTTCACATTTTCAAAGGAGTACTCCACTGTGATTCAAAAAAACAAACTATAGCATTCTTTTAAAATATATAAAACCCTCGAACTACGTTTAACAAGCTTTTAAACTAAATGTGTATGGTTAAAGGCAACCAAAACCAATAAGTATGACCTCAGTTAATCATAAGAGTATACTTATATTCAGCCAGAGCATTATTCAGAAAAGTTACCTTTCTTTTAAACCTGATTTTGCAACTTAACCAATAATTATTATTTATTAATTAGCATATCATAATCTCTCTGAAACATTGAACGATTGAAGATTCCAAGTAGTATATAAAAATCTGATTATTAGCTCTAAGGTAATTAAGAGCTACAGTTCAATTCAATTTAGCTGTTGCTTGGTAGTCAGTAGTGTAATTTGGTTATAGGATTTGTTTTCAAGTTTTTGAGCGTTTTTTTCTTATGTATTAGTCTTGATTTTATACTTTTGTATTTGCTTAATGTATTTTACATTTTGTAATGTATTTCCTTTGGCAAAAACTTTGGGGTACAGAGAGAGCATTTAGACACTTGTCGTGCTCTCTCGATAGAAAAGGTTTTGTACTTATGGCTTCCGGAGCAGGTACCCCATGAAGACGTCAGCTTCGGTTGTCGTATTTTTTCATAATTTACACTTTTTATTGTTTCTTTAGTTTCAACTCCTCTTGGAATTTCTGCTGCATAGCGTATTTTTCCACTGGAAGTATAGTTTTTAATTGGTTTAATCATTTTGAATTCTATTCTAATTACGTAATTAAGAGCTTTTAATTCATTTTAATAGGCTGCAAAAATTTGTGATTTAACTATGCAACTAATTGTAAAATTAACAATAGTTAATATTTATTTTAAAAAATTGGTTGCACGTAATTCCAACCTTCAATTATTACTTTCCTCAAAAATGTGAAAATTAAAAAGATAAACACAGGGAAAAAAAAAAAAATCCAAAAAGGATGAAAAATTGAGAAGATATATTCATGAAAAAATTTGTTTAAGTGAGACTCTTTTGTAAGCATGATGTCAAGATGCAATGCATAAGTTTAAATATTGACATGACAAACCTCAGAAATGAGCTCTTCTTCAGCATTTGCATATACAACATTGTATGTTTGTTTAGCTTCCTTGAAAACAACTATTTTGCTGATCAGAATGTAGTAGTCAAATTTAAAGTTTCCACCCTTAGCTGTAGCTTTCTCCATGTCATAACTAGAGGAATAAAAATACAGAACTATGAAAACACACAAATATTTCAATGTACTATTTGTTAAAATATAATTACAACTTTAAATAGAATCTTACCTTAAGCCTGTATAGAGAGGAACAGCAATTTTGGGAGGAATGTTCAACATTCTTTCACTGATAATGAGACCAACATTCTTCTCTCTGTTTTCTAAAATATTTCTTAACAACTGGAATTGTTCATCTTTGGAGGACTTTTTGCAATGGCTCAGTAGGTAGGCGGTGATTTGCTTCACACAATCTAAATTCTACAAAAAGAACAAACATAGCTTACTCAAGGGTCTTTTATTATACCAAATAATGCCTTTTAAGAAGTAGCTTGTTATTCATTTAACAACAGTGGCTTGAAACAATCATGTATAACTGTTAGACCAGGTATTATTGTCTATATCTAGTTAGAGCTTTTTATGTTAATAAGGTAAAGAGCACAGAATTTTCAAGAAAAAAAAGTCTAGTTCTTTTTTTATCTAAAGAAATATCAGTGATCTAGTTTTTTAATAACAGGGTTCATATTCAAAAAGAAGTAATTTTTTCCAGGTCAACAGGAATAAAATATATGGTATTACATTATCTTTTCATAACAACTACTTTTTAAAAACTATTTTAATTTTAAAAGCTTTTGAGCATGTTAACTAATATTACTTTATTTTTCAAGCATAAAAAGTAAAATATATCATTTTCGAAGTCTTTTGTCCTCTTTGGTAGTAAACTTTATANAATTTGAAACAGTTTTAAGGCTGGTAAACAACCTAAAATATGAATTGTCAAGCATATGATCATGAATATAATTTGAAGTTTGGGACACTAACAGCTTTGTAAGTACTGATATTCATAGGATCAAATAAATTTTTTAAAAGAATTTTTTAATTTCAGCTGATTCTTTTTTAAGAATAAATCAATCACACCAAAAATGACTGATACTTAGGAATTTTCTTCCATCCTCAAAGGTGGGAGCATTTAATAATGGGAGATAAAGAAGGAAATCCCTTAGGTGATATAAAAAATTAAAAAAAAACATTAACTTAATTTAATGATAAAATACAAAAGACTAAACAAACTCTATGCTATTTTATTTTTTAAAATTTAGAATTTTATTAGGTTTTGAATAATTAATAAAATACACATATTTATGCCATGAGTGTTTATCTGATAGCAGAAATGCTGCAGATAGGTGTAGGAAAAAAAATTGTTTAATTACTTTTCTACATTTTAAAGGAAAACATTGAAAATAAAACAATAATTGAAACAGAAACAAGAAATTAAAATGTAGATAGATAAATGAAATAAAAACACAGAATTTTCTTACCCTTTTATCAGTAAGATTAACTACAGAAAACACACCAAAAGTTACATCTAAATCAGAGTCATCGTCATCCTCATCTACATTCATGCCATCATCATCAGCTTGCTAGAAAAATTCAAGTGAAAAAAAATTTTTTTTTAAGCAAAAACACATCTATTGCATTGTACATTTAAAAAATACAAAAAAAGAAAAAAAAAAAAAAAAAAAAGAAATCAGNAACAAAAAGAAAAAAAAAAAAAAGAAAAAAGGATACAAAATAGCTTTTTTAAGTTGTAAGGTAAAGTCAATGTGATTACATATTACTTCCTATTGAATCTTACAAGTATTATCTAGGGTGCAAAATGAATTTACTCCTTTATTTAAATTAAAAGGTATAGTCAACACAATATTTATTTCCTTTCCTTATAGACTAAATGATGCATTAACTATGTAACTGAATTAACACATGCAAAAAAAGTTAACAACAAAGTAAGGTACAATTTCTATGATTACCAATTTTCTTTAGACTTATTCAAGAATCATAAACCAATCAAACTGAATTGAGACAAATTAAAATACAATGCCCATAAACCAATTAATATGATGAAAAACAAAAAATAAGATACAGATACAATAAAAAGATAAGGGCTACTTAATATACAAGAATAAAAACAGCACAAAAGACACAACTGTACACACCACAATTGCGACAGAATCATTGACATACACAAATAATTGTGCACTTATTTTTGTAAACTGTAAAAATACTATTACAGTAAAAAAATACCTTAATAACTCCTGTTATTTTCTTTTGATGAATAAGCAAGTCAGTTAATTCTGATGTGTTGATATGAGCTTTCAGAAATAACTGGAACAAATATATTTTCATATTAAATAGAGAAAAAGTAAACATTGATGTGTTTTTAAATATTAGTGAAAGGGATGACAATCATCTTCTACAGTGGGGGAAAAAACACAGAAAATATTGCCCTGGAAGAAATACAATAAACCCAAGTAGATGAAACTTTCTAACAAAAAAAGATCACACATTAAATTAAAATTTGAAACAGTTCATAATTGTAATCAAGTTTAAATAATAGTTAAAATTCCAAGTCATTAAAGAATTTTTTTTTTTAAATAATTTTTTTACAGAATTGTTTAATGGTTGGAATATTATTTTAAATTATTAAGTTACTTTTCATCTAAATGCTCACAAAGTTCCTACATCAGGACCTGCACCAAAAAGTTGCCAAGCTGGGCAAATTCGTATAATAGCGTGCAAAAAAAAAGATCCTTGAAGTGACCAACTTTAGTGATTCAAAGTCAATCTTTAGGAAAACAACAGACATTTTTGTAAAATTTGTATAAGTACAAAGATTTTTTAGCTGTGGTGTTTGGTGGGAACAGATATCGATGCCAAGGAGAACTGTGACACAAAGTGAAAAACCCCGAAAATTTGTGTGCAAAAAATCTATATCAATTTATGTTCCAAACATGTTTTATATTTAACATAATTTTTTGAACTAGTATTTAGAATTACTACTGAATAAAACACAATACTTTAAACACTTACTACTGAAGAATATCACACCTTTCAAGTAACTAATTCAAGGGAGCCTTTTGGAAGAAGAATCACACGCATGTAAACCTCTCAACAATGGGATTTAGTAGAAGATTCAAAATTTCGCTTTGACATACGTAGAATTCTGTGAAACATTTGCGGAAAAATCACATACTCTGTTTCTAGTTTTAAGGGGGATATTACTGTATCTTGATCTATCACGCCAACTACAACAGCCAAGGTGCCAAATATATTTTAAACTTGCAAATTTAAAAAAAAAAAAAAAATTGAAACCTGTAGATATTTGCCCAGGGGTGGCAACAAGTTATACTTTTCGATTTGGTCCTTTTCTGTGGAGTTTTTTTTTAGTTTCTCACGGGCCACTGCCCGTAAGCTGCCCAGACTTGGCCATTATTCTGCCACAGAGCACAATATGGAAATCTCCTTGTTTTTAGACGCAGGAGAATTATAAGAAAACCCAAAATTCCGAAATACAATCACCCCCGCTTAACGGAAACATCTCCCGATTATATCCGTACTAATAAGTTTCTAAGTAGATACTATAGGATAGTAAATTCAAAAATTTTTAACGTAGCATACATACAGTTACCAGGCAGCAGTCAATAAATTAAAATTCATATTATTTAAAACTATCACACAGTATCAAATAATTTATTCAATAAAAGTGTATCAAATAACTGAAATAAGAAAAATCAAACCATGAATAATAAAGATGTAAACCTGTGTCAAGAGATTTTTAATGCCATGGAAATCTGTCACTTCTGGCATTTTTACATCAAAATCAACTTCAATCATTTCCTGCAAACAAAATTTCCTTTATAAGTAAAAATATTGATAAACAGCTTTTAATAGAATTGCATAATCGGGGAACTGTTAATTTTTTAAGGAAATGATGAGTAAAAAATATTAAGCACATATGAATCACAACATTAAATAATGAAACTAACCATTTCCTCACTGCCAGTTCCATACATATCCTCATTTTCATCGGAACTGCTCATATTTTCATCTGGATCATTGTTGGGTCGTTGTTTTTTAGTTGGAGCCATAATTAACGATTAAATTTACAGTTTTATCTTTATATTTTTAACACGTGAAACAAAACAGAAGAAAACAATGATTAGTTTGGTACGGTAACTAATTGAGAGTATTGTTTGAGAGAGAATAGTAGCATATAGCTTGCTATGAGAAAAAATTATTAAATCTGTGCCTAATAATTTTTAATTTTGCTGTGATATTCTTCTAAATTATTCTACACATTTTATTTTATGATTAATTAGATTAGTAATTTACAAATAATTAAAATCANTTATAGTTTTATCTTTATATTTTTAACACGTGAAACAAAACAGAAGAAAACAATGATTAGTTTGGTACGGTAACTAATTGAAAGTATTGTTTGAGAGAGAATAGTAGCATATAGCTTGCTATGAGAAAAAAAGTATTAAATCTGCGCCTAATAATTTTTAATTTTGCTGTGATATTCTTCTAAATTATTCTACACATTTTATTTTATGATTAATTAGATTAGTAATTTACAAATAATTAAAATCATGCGGAGAAGAGATTTGTTGTTAGGGTCCTTCTCCTCTAAAGCGGTGAATTTCGGTTTGTTTACCATTTCAATAGTCGGTATTTCAATCATTTCTTTGCAGGGAAATTTAAATAATGTAATGTATTGTTAATTATATTTTTTATTTTATCAATAAGTAAAAACTGTTTTCAAAATTTTGTTGTCTCTTTAAATTTAGTCTTGAGTTTCACGTTTTTTAAAATGAAATCTTCACATTTAAAGCAACAATCAAGTGTGCAATTATACTTATTTGCTTAAAATATCAGTATCTTTAAAAATTTATTATATTTCTTTCAACAATACAGCTGTGAAAAAAATCAAATATCTTTGCATAGTGTCTGTAGATGAGACTAAAATAAATTGTAAATTGAAATAAAACGCTTTTTTGGGGGGTCTAGTATATTTTGTGTTCATGCAAATCTTAAAATTTGAGTTTCTAGATTGATTTATTTCTAATCTAATCTTGACCGATCTCCTTTGAAAACAAATCAAAATTTTGATAAATACAAAGACTTTATTTTATTTAGTATTTGAAATAAGAGTGTTTGTTTATGTTTTACAAGGCAAAATATAAAAGTGTTACATTTATGCTTTTTTTTAGCATTTGTCATTGAAACACTTGATTATGAATGTGTTACTTAGGGCATATTTCCGTATTGTGATCTGTCGCACCAACTATAACCGCTAAGGTGCCAAATAGAGTTTAAACTTGCAAATTTTTAAAAAAAAATAAACAACATGTAGATGTTTGCCCAGGGGTGGCTACGAGTTAAACCTTTTGAGTTGGTCCTTTTCTGTGATTTTTTTTAAGTTCCTCGCAGCCACAGCCCGAAAGTTGTTGCCACAGATCATGATACGTAAATCTCTCCATTACTTACAGCTTTCTTAAATACAGAAATGTTGTTAATGATCTTGCGAACAAATTTCTTTTCTTTCAAAGAGACTTTTAAAACTTCGAAAAGTTGAAATTATAATGAAATTTTCCAGAACCAAATATTCTGTAGGGAAACTTACAAAATCTGTTTTCTTTCAAGAATTTTCTACTACATTTAGTGGTGAATCCAGCGGGGGGTCATAGAGGTCATGGCCGTGCCCCCCCCCCAAAAAAAAATAAAAATAGTGCTTTTTTTAATAGTTTACAAAAGAAATAAAATATTTGAAAAATTATTTTTAAGGGGGCATACATACCTAGATAGGTCGGAAAAATTGATTTTTTTCCCATCTAATTATGTTCTTCACTTTTTCAAGAATCTTAATCCAAAAGATTAGAACGAAATTCCTCATAGTTTCATTGTAAACATTAATAATGTTGAAGCTCCAAGCGCTCTTCAACAGGTTTAACCAAGGATTGTATAAAGGTGAAGATGAGAATCTTGCGAAACTCGACTAAATACTCGACAAACACAAAGAAATAATAACCAGACCCCAGAAGAATATTTTCGGAAGGCAATTTATATTCCTTTATTTTAACAGATTTAAAGGACAGACTTTCCCCAGATGTGATGAAACTTTGTAATCTACGAGTTTTTTTACTTCGTCAAACTGTTTTAGAAGATGATCTTATAGCCGTTCGTGAAACTGCCGAGTTTTTTAAGATTCTCTTAAATGCTTCCATAAAAGTTGTCGAAACAGAATTTCGTCTTTGGGTGGCAAAATGGCAGCGTGAAACAGAAGCAGGACTTTAAGTGCCTAACGATCTTTTCAAGATTATTAATGCCTGTGACATTGATTTGTACCCATCAATCAATATGTTGTTGAGAATTTTAATAATTCTGCCAGTTAGTGCAGTAACAGCAGAACGCTCCTTTTCAACATCTCAAGACTTGGCTTAGAGCAACTCAAAATCAAGAACGATTAAATGGACTCGCCTTATTAAACATTCATCGAGAAATTGATTTGGATGTTGAAAAAATCATCGACAGATTTGCCGAAGTCTCTAAAAAACGCATTACATTTATTATTTAAAGATGTTTAATACTTGAATTATTTATGTACTGTTCTATTGTTCATTATTATAGAACTTTTTTGTTATTCACTTTTTTTAAAAAAATAATTTATATGTAAGAAAATGATCTATCCATATTTTTTAATTTTTGTAGGGAGGAAAGTTTTGTTTCCCTTTTGGCAGAAAAAACACCTCAAAGGAGTGCTGCTAAATCATCATTTGTGCAAAAATGTATTACTTTTGGAAGTTCAAAAAAAGGTGATATTTTTTTGCTTTCCACAACATTTTTTAATTTTGCTCTGTATATTTTTTAAAATGTTTGAATAATTATCACAATTAAATGGAAAAATTTCATATAATGTTGAGTGTTTAATATAAATACATTTTAATCAATAAATGCCTTATTTAAATTCACCTGCTAATGGAATTGGAATATGTCATCCGTCATTTCCTTATTGGACTTGTCTAATTGACTTTCCAGATAAAATCTGATCGTTGAATTTAATAATGCTCCTTTTTCTTGATGTTATATTTGTCTTAAAGTATATAAGTATCTATTTGCTTTACTGAATTATATTACTTCTTTGACATTTGAATAAATATGTAAAATGTTTCTTTACGTGTTTGACTAATGTTTAAACATTTTAGAGTTTACATTTAACTTTAAAATTTTTATAAAAATATATTTTTTTAAGACTTGCATTTAAAATTTTTATATATATGCATTTTTTTTATTCTTGCTTGCATAGCAATTATTGACATATAGATGCAGGAATACACTTTGCATATTGACTTTCACTATCATTTCATTTCATTAATTAAGATTAAAAATATTGTTATAGAAATTTTATATTGCTATAAAAATTTTATATACTATAATATAAAATATATTGTGATTAAAACATGATTGCACAATAAATTGACATATTTTTTGTAATTGTTTTAAAGGCTTCATGTTTTACCGTTATTGTTTTTTCGTTTTTAAATTTTTTGTAACAATCTTTTTTTGCTTATTAAAATTTCATTAAAATTTTTTCAAAAAAATTAAAAAATTGTTTTTGTAATAATTTAATGTAGGGGTGCACAATCTGTGGCCAGCGGGCCACATGCGGCCCGTCGACTGTTGATGTGCGGCCCGCGGAAACTTCTGAATGCAATAAAAAAATTTCTTTTAATTTGCTTTTTGTTTACGCATTATTAATTTTGTTTAATTAAAATATTTAATTCAAATTTATATTACTCTGTAAAATGCGTATATTTTTTGTACTGCATTCATTCTGAAAGCTTCTTTTTGGTTAGAATGTATATCCCCCTCCCAATATTTATGTATATACAGTGCCCGCCGCTAATAAAATCACCGGATAATAAAATCAAATCGGCAAGAACCGAATCGTTACAATATTAATACATGTTAAAAACATCCTTTAATAAAATCAATGCCGCTGCTTTTTAAAATCAAAATTTTGACTACATAATAAATCAAAGGTGCACTATTTCAGCTTTTTTTGTTCTTATTTGTAAAATTTTATTTTTTCGAAGTTTAAAGATTTTTTTAGAAGAAGCAACAGTTTCTCACAAACCTGTGAAACAGGTGTGGTTAGCACTTTCCTGCTATATACATAGTGTAAGAGTTAAGGAAAAATGTGGGTGGTAAGCGGCGAGTTCATAGAAATCAATTTATCAATGTTAATTCCTTGACTTGAATGAAGTTTGGAGAAACCTATCTCACTCAACAGGGGGTCGAATTCTTATCTTACTTTTTATTGAATGAACCATAGAAGGGAGAGAAGTTTCTTTTGTAATCTATATTAACAGAGAACCTGAATAGATTTCCAAAAACTGTCTGTGCACAAGCTTCCTAAATGTAGTCAACGTGAAGCATCAATTGAGATGGGGCTCATAACTGTTTCAAAGAAATGATCAGCAATGAAGAAAATGAAATGGACGAGAATTTTTCACGTTACGTAGCTATTGACGATTACCTGCAAACATCAGGAGAAAAATCTGATTCTAAAATTGTTACAGACATCAAAAATTGCAAAGTTATTTCCCATCAAGAAATGGAGGAATCAGACTCAGAAGATGAAATAAAAATAAACTCATCAGTACCATCTTCAATGGAAGTCAGAAAAGCACTTAATGTATTGCGGCAAGCTTTAGAACAAAGAGGAGGAATATCGAAAACTATAAAAACTTCTATAAACTCTCAAATGATGTTGAAAAGTTAATTATAAATACTGCAACTAAAGCAACCATTAATCGGTTTTTTGCAAAACTTTTGTAAATTTAATCTTATGTAGGGTTTTACTTTATTAAAATAATTAAATTAGTTAAATTAGTTAAAATAAAGCATTAATGTGGTCATTATTTCAGCTTTTAAAGTGTGTGCATTTTTGATATATTGTAAAATGTGTTTTTTTTTTTGTTGTCAAATGTTGAATCACCTCTTAATAAAATCAGCCGCTTAATAAAATCAAAAGAGCATAAAACGAAAGTGATTTTAATAAACAGCGGGCACTGTATGTATACATTTATACCTTTGATAAATTAATTACTATGAAAAGAGGAACAAGTTTTTTTAAAAAAACGTATCAATTTCTTTAGTTTTAAATAAATTCAAAAAATTAAAAATATTTAATTTTCTGCAGATTTATAACATATTTGCAGAAACTGATAAAAATTGTTTACTGATAAAAATATTTAGTGCTTAGAACACTAATGTTTTTATAAAAATTATCATATTTGCTACTAACATGATTACGTATGCGCACGACTCTTCGTTAATCGGCCCTTAGTTTTATTTCTTTTTCATCTGTAAAGGATACTAAACACTTATGCCCGAAAAAAAATTTATGCAACCAAATTTTTTAATTGGAAATTAGAAGTATTTGTTTAAGAATTGTATTCAGTAAACATTACAATAATTACAATGACAGAAAAATATTATTATGTTCTTAAAAGAGTTTGAATACTTTGAAGTTTCATAAAAAAAGTAATAATATGTAAAAGTATTCCCAAAAGTATGAAATAGGTAAGAAGTATCTTTAAAAAATGTAGTATTGCACCTTGCTTAAGTGGATAAGCCAGTTCTAAATGACAAATATTACGAAATCACAATTCAAGAAATCTCTTTAATTAAAGTTAAAGAATTAAAACAAAAGTTTTATTTTTTTACTTTTAATTGCATATTACTAAATTTATTTTAAAATTTAAATTTGTTCTCAATTGATTTTTTTTATTAGGATTATCTTTTGATGAAACTGGACTTAGTGGCACTTTACCTTCTTCAAGTTAGTATATCATTTATCTTTATTAAGTTCTTCATGAACATTGTGTTGTATTCAATTGATAAGTTTTGGCTTGTGAAAACTTTTTTTATTTTTCATTTAATTAATTTTTAAGTATTGATATTTTTTTTCAACTGAAAAATAAAATTAAAAAATAGCTAAATATGGTTTGTTAAATATTGTTCAAATGCAAAAATATAGCTCAATGCAAAATATTGTTAGATTTCTAAAATTATTATCACCAGTTATAAAATGTGCTTTTAAAAATAAACATAGCAAGATTTAAAAATTTTTTAAACACGGATTCATTTATCTAATACAAATAATTATTACAAAAATATGGTATTATATGGTTATATAATAAACATCACATAAAATATTGTGATCATCCTGACCACGGCTCTGAAAATTACAATCACCATAGTACTGAAAATACAGTAACTGGCTTCTAATATTGAGTTATTTTAACAATTTCTTTTAGTCCAAAAAATCTGAATATTTTCGTTAAAAAAAAAACTATGTCATTGTTTACTTTGGGTTCTATCTTATGATCTGTTTGTTTTGATTTATAGCATTCATGAGAAATGTTTCAGTACAGAAAAACAATGTTGCAAAAGACTAAAAAACAAAATAAAAGTGTTCAACAATCGTGTATTGAACTTGTGCAGTAGTTAAGCTTATGAAAGAGAATTAGCTAAGTAAAATATAAAGAATGTAGTAATTTTTTGATTATAGTAGATTTCTTGGTAAAAATTTCAAAGCAATTTTCTCACCCTACTCTTGTTAATAATGTTTAAAAAGGACTAAAGAGTGATTATGCACATGAAAAGTGTAAGTGCAGGACTGTATATATGTAAAAATCTTTGTAGTGCAATGAAATAAAATGTGTGTTAAAAATGGTTGACTCAGTATTACAGTATAGGAAAGTATTATTTCTATAGCTTAATATAACAAACTATTTATAGACATAAAAAAAAACTGGCAAAATATTATAATCTTGATTCATTTTTATTTTCAGATAACTTTGAAATAAAACTAATTACTGTTTTGTAATTTCATAAAGCAAAAGAAAAAAAATGCTACTTTTCGTTCTATATAATCTTTAAAATGTTGAATTTTCGTAGAAGCTGTATGGAAGCCAATATTTTGTGTAATAAGTTTAATGATCTAAGATCAATTTTAAATGGATGAAGTTGCATTAAATTGTCAAAAATTTCTTTTAGGATGTTATGAAAAATCAGCTTTTGTATCAAAAAGTATTTTGGAACTGTTTGTATAACTATTTTGTATTGTTAAATAATTTTTGAATGCAGTATGAATAATATTTTTTAGGAAATATATATTTAACAAATATACATGTTGTATTTTTCCAATTTGCATACCATATTAATGACCAGTTAATTCATTTTCACATTTCAGGAGAACAATCACTATCTGTTTTCAGTCAAGGAAATGAATACAACATGAGTGGAATTTTTGAAGTATGTTATTTTCTTTCTTTCTTATCTCAATCCTAAAATTAGCCTCATCTATATTCTTTACTGTAATCATCTACACATTTAAATTGTGTGTACTGATATTATCTATTGTATACTGAGATAATGTTGTAAATGTATTTAGCATGGTAGTGGGTAACCCAGACAAGTGATGGTAGAAAAATAATTAAAAATTATAGAAAGTTTTGAAGCTTGAAAATTTCCTTAATTTTCATTTTTTAAAAAAGAAATTTAAACTAAAATTAAAGTCATTACATCATAAATGATATAAATACCAAGCTTTTAAGCATTTCAGACTTTCAAGTGTAAAAAGTCTTTTATTCCTTCCCATTTTTCAGAAGTCTTTAAAGTCTTCAGTTATTCCAAAAATTATTATCAGAAATGTCATTTGAAATGCTTTCTTGCATTTGTGTCCTGAGTAAATCAGTTTTTATTATAGAAATTCAAGTAATTAGTTAAGAATTTTTGTAAAAAAATATAAATCATATTGGAATAGTGATTTTAATGTATAGTAAAGTTAAAATATTATAATTTTTTGCTGGATAGTGATAATAAATTTTTAGGCTACTGAATCCATGAATGTCTGGCTACTGAATCCATAATGATTATAAAGTATTATGCTTATAATAAGTTTTTAAAGAATTAGTTATATTTTTGTAACTTTGCATTATAAGAGTTGTCTTGTTACAATAATTTGTACATCGCAATTTTTTTCACTTTAAGTGACGATAACTTCTGTTATAAACTGAACTCATAGACTCAGGATGCTAACTTATGTTCTGTAGTTTGAACAAGCAGATTGCTAATGCCTCATCAATGTTTTAACTGTGGCAGGTGAAAACTTATGAGAAATAAAAAATGTTTTCTTCAGGAACTTTTTCACAAACTGTAAAAACCCTATTCATATGCTATTGAATGCATAAGTGTTTGAAATTTCCAATGAGCAATTTTTCAAATTTACACGATTTAGCTATCAGAAATTGTTGTAGGTTCAGATCAACATATGTTTGTGAGCAAATGTTTTTTAGTAAGAATGTAATAAAATCTAAATATCATTCACAGAGATAAGTTTTCTATGCTTTTTGGCGGAATTCCTCCCCCTCCCTTCAATTTAACTATAAAAAATGCTCTGCTTTTTGCAAAATTTTTTTCTTACTTATGTTTCCGTGGTTTATTTCATTCTTGCTATTTAAATCACACACCGTGATTTCTATTCTAACATTTTAAAACTACAGAACATGCTCTGTATTCACATGATTTAAAATTTTGCTTCAGGTGTTCAAGCAATTTGAAAATAGCATGTATAGATTCGTAGTCATATGTTTAAATATCACATCATGATTCATATTCACATAATTTAAAAATCACATATAGAGATTCGTATTCACTCAATTGAAAAAAAAAAGCTTATAATTTAAATGTTGATAATATTCTGTGAAACCTACATAAATTTTTTCTTACTTGAATGTTAGGCATATTTTCAATGAAAGTTTTTGGATTTCCATTTTCAGCTGTTTTAGATTTTTTTTTTTTAGCAAACTCACCTCTGCATTCAAACTTGACAGATATGCCCATAAAACACATAATTTTGTTAGAACTAATCCTAATATAAATTTACTTGGGGAAAAACAAAGTCAACTAATTATTGCCGGTTTGTAATTATTTTGAATTCATTGTTTCAAATTATTCATTTTCATTTTATACCTGCATGACTTAATTAACCAAACTGTTTAAAATTTTTAATAACAATAAAATCCAAATGTTTACCTTTATTTTATTTATTATATATTATTTTTACACGCGCACTACATGAAAAAAAGTGATATTTGCATCAAAATACTATAATCAGCTTAAAGATAACAGTCACTCACCTTTTTATCATTTTTAGTATGTCTGAAGAGTTGAAAGTGGCACTTATAAATTTTTCATTCAGTTAGTGGTACTTACCCCCAAAAAAGATGGATATTCTGTTCTAACAGGAAGTGTAGATTACTTCGTTTTAAAAAGTTATCTTATAGTTCTCTGTTATCAAAGCTATTTGAACATCTATAACCTGGTAAAATAACCTGGTTAACACTTATTAAATTACAATACTAAACTACTCAGAAGTGCAATGAAATTATGATTTTGGCTCAAACTGTATTTATATAATGTGTTTTATTATTATTTTTTTTTTAGTTGGATAATAATCGTGAAAGTTCATCAGTTTTTAAAGTAAGCATATTTTTATAAATTTCGTCTGCTTTATCTTTTTTTAAATTCTTCTATGAAGTTCAAAATTTTTGTTTTTATTAGTTTGGTGTTATTTCTTAGTTTTCATGACGTATTTGCTAGGCTTTGGTCTACCAACCAACTCTTGTTTCATATTTATGATAGTATTTCATCTTTATAAGTATCAGTTGGATTTTATATCTTAAAGCATTTAAATTCTTAAACTTATTATGAAAATAAAGACAAATATGTTTATTAAAGTTAATTATTAATTAATTTAAACTGTGTAAAGGAAAAAATATACATATAAAGTGTATTAAAATATATAATGTCTAGTTAAAAATGTTTAATGTATAGTTGCCATTGTTATGATTTTATTTATATGTAATTTGTATTCCAAAAAAAAAAAAAAAATGAAATAAATTATTAACCAGGTTATTTTACTTGAAAGATGTTCAAGTAACTTTTATAACAGAAGGCTGTAAAATAACTTTTAAAAAGAAGTTTACTTCTTTTAAAAAAAGTTATTTTATAGCTATCTGTTATCAAAGTTATTTGAACATCTATCAAGTAAAATAATCTGGTTAACGCTTATGAAATTTCAATACTGAACTATTCTGAAGCGTTATGAAATCATGATTTTGACTCATAAATGCATTTATGTAATTTGTTTCATTATTCTTTTTAGATGGTGTTCGATACTAAATAATTGATTTCTACGCTGGTTCGTTTGTTAACAAATGATTAAAATAGAATGGACTGTATTAAAGATTTTTATTATGATTGGTGCTACGAGCACGCTCATGCTATAAGATCAACAACTAATTTTCAACTGATTAGGGTTACAACAAACGGTGGCGAGGATGCTGAGACAAAGATGCCAAGTTGGCGCTATATTTCTGAGATATTGAACAGATGGATAGTAATCGAGAAAATTCATCAGTTTTTAAAGTAAGAATATTTTTTTTTTTGAAAAAAAAATTAGTCTGCTAGTCTTTTACAACAGTCTCAAGGTTTTGGTCTACCAACCATATATTGTTTCATATTTATGATAGCATTTAAACTTTATAAGTATCAGTTGCATTTTATGTCTTAAAGTATTTAAATTCTTAAACTTATTGTAAAAATAAAGACAAATATGTTTACTAAAGTTTATAATTAATTAATGTAAACCTGTGTAAAGGTAAAAAGATACATATAAAATGCATTAAAATATATTGTGTCTAGTTAAAAATGTGTAATGTATAGTTGACATTGATTTCATGTGAATGTAATTTATATTTCAATAATTTCTGCTCCAGTGATTTTTCTGTTAAAGTCGTCATCATATTATGGCTTTACAAGATTGCACCTCTTATACGAAATATCTGCATTCCATTTGATTTAGTATTGTGACTACAAATTAATTACTTCATTAATGAAAAATAATTTACTAATATGCTAAAATAATGAATAGTATTTGCACACAAAATGAATAATAACTGATGGGAAAAAAATGGATATTCATATATTTATATACATAAAAAAAAAATGGGACTTATGAAAAACTTGAATATTGTTTTAAGGCTGTCAATTAAAAGATAATCTTGTTTGTTTCCCTTTTCTATTCTTTTATGTCTTAGCCTCAGACACAGTTTATAGCACTTTTTTGTACCTGCAGTTTGCTAAGATTGGACCTTGTATCATAATCAGCCTTGAATTAATAATCTCAAATATATTTAAAATATTTCTATTAATCTGTATTTGAACTTTATTCTTTACCAGGATGATTTTATGACTACAAAGCTGGAAATTGACAACACAGTTCTCATTGATGTTGATCCAGGAACTTATTGTAAGTCCTATATGAACAGACCAATACTAATTTATCAATGATAAATGCCTTATACTATTTGATTTTCTTTTCAGCTCAAAAATTGTTTTTCCTTCTTCATATTAGATTTTTTTATCAAATTTATTCATTTTCCTTTTAATATTGATATTAAGTTTAATTCATTGTGTGATAAATTGCTTTTTTAAAAATCATTTTATACAAACTTTTTCAGTTACTGACTCACTTGGTGAAGAATTTTTGGAATTTTTCCTAAGCTATGCAGGAGAGCATGAAATATTTAGCTTATTGTTAAATTATGAAAATGTAAGTTTTTTAAAAAAATCTATGTATTTAAATATATATATATAATTTTTTTCAAAATACATATTTTAAAATCGTAAAATTGCTTGTTATATCTTATGTTACACACTGTTTGAACTTCTCTGTTGTAATTATTTAATGTTCATTAGATTAATTTAAATATGATATTTAAATACTTTAGTTGAAAACAAATATATGTGATCATCTTACTCATACTTATTATTTTAATTGAAGTGTATGTCAGAAAGAGAAATTTACTCTCGGTTTATAAATATACATTTCTATCCATAAATTTATAAATTGAATTTAAAAAATAAAAATAATTGTAGATATGTGATTTATAATAGAGTATATAAAAATTCAAAATGAAACAAGGAATTAGAGAATACCTATTGATATTTATGGCTACAGATTAATGCTGAAAAAGTAAAATAATACACACTGTATTTAAAAGTAGATTTTAAATTAAACAAGTTTGTTTTAATATACCATATAAATTGAAATAATTTCATTAGAAGAAATGTTTCTTGAACTAATACTTTTCAAACATCTAACAGTATTTAGAAATTTATATTTAACATAATAGTTTTTAACTAGCTGTTATTGTGAAGAGCTTATGTTCGATCTTCAGCTTTTCCAGCTTCAAATTTTTGAGTATCAGCTTGTCTGGGAAGTAAAGGCAGTTTGTGCACAATGCTGACCTCATTGCTGCACATTTATGACACTGGTCACAAAGTTGAGGAAACTCAACATGCTGTTATGGGAATGCTTTACTTGTAATTTAATAATTTTTGGTTTTATCTAGTGATTTTGATATTTATTTTTTTATTGTCACACTATGTTTGATTTTTTTAAGTAATATATGTGCCCAATAATGTAAATTATTCTATTAAAATATGCAAAATAATATTTAGTTGACCATGTATTTTAATAATTTGTTTTATTATATCATTTTACTATATCATTTTACTATATCATTTTAAATATATATGTATATTTCATTATTTTTTTCATTTCATTTAGCTTTGCTGTAAAGGAATTGAAACATTAGCTAAAATTTATTCTAAGAATGCTATGACAGAAAGGTATGACAAAATCTTTAATATTTTTTCATTTATATTCTCTACCTACATTTAAGATCCTTTTGTTTAATTTAGATATTTTAAAGTTTTAGAATGAAAGCTTAAAACAGAAAGAGGGACAAATTGTGTCTTATTAAAATCTAAATATAAAAGTTGGTCTATTAAATGTTAGCTCAAAAAATTTTGTATAAAAGTTGCAAGCATTTTGTATATTTTGATTAAAGTTATATGTAAAAATGTTCAATGTTTTATAATACAACAGTTGGGCTATTATATGTAGCTTTAAATGTGTGCAAAAAAAAAAAAAAAAATCTAAGCTTTCCGAACTTGAATATTTAGATTAAAATTATATTTAAAAGGGTTCTTTGTTTCATAAAGAATAGTGAAAAAGTGCTAAAGAAGAATTCAAACTTTAATTATAATTTTAAAAGATTTAGGGAAAAGCATTAAAGATTATTATTTATTGTCTTTATGGCGGCTTTTTAAATTTATACTGACCTTATGTGCTTTCCTGTTATTATTTTTTTAATTGTTAAATATTAAAAAAATAATTATTTTTAATCAAACTACTTATTTCCCAATTCAGTTAAATCTTAAACTATTAATTTTAAGCAAAATAATAATTAAATTCCTAAAAATTTACTTCTTTTATAGGCTAGTTTTTAGGATTTTATTAGAACCTTCTCAGTTGTAGTATGCAAACTGTCATTGCCTTTTAGCTTCTTAGTTTGATGCATTGAGATTTAAAGTTGAAATATTTTAATTGTTTACATTTATAGGCTTCCTAATGCGTTAAGAACTTTGAATGTTCTGCAATTGGAGCGTAATACCTGGCGACTTATGAGAATTTTATTTCAAGATCGCTTGGAGGGAGAAACAGTTGATGAAGGAGATTCGCTTCTATCGACATTGGTATCATTATTATTTTTTTAAAATTTATAATATTTCATTATTTTGCTGAATAGTACTAAAGTTCTTGTTTTATATCTTGATAGTACGAGTTATTTTAAAATAATATATGCGTATATGTGCCCTATAAGCTATTGTAAAATAATTCCATTGTCCCGACTGTATTAATCTATTGTTTACTTATGTTAATGTCATACAATTACTTGTAATACACTACATTCTTTGCATACAGTTTTTAATTTGATTTAGAAATTTTATTTTTATGATATCTTTTAGTATGTACAGTGCATTAGTGTTGCCCAGACGACAATTAGTGCATCATTTTGCTATTCTGTTTACATAAATGATATTATGATTTATATCGTATTCACCATCCATAATTAATTTTTAAATTTGACCTTGAATTAAATCCCTTTAATTTAGCTTTAATATAAAGCTTTTTCTAGTCTAAAGAAATTTTCTAGTCAACAAATTGGTCAATAATTAAAAGTAAATATCAATTTATTATTTTTTGAAAAGTGTTTTTTTTTATTTATTTTAATAACAGGGTGCATAGCGTTTTGAAAAAGTGCTTAAAGGTGCTTATTTTCGATTATCGATTTTTAAATGCCTTTAAAGGTGCTTTTTTCATTGGATGTTTTTAAAAAGTGCTTAATTATTAAAAGTGCGTATTATGCAGAAAGACTCTGTTTATATTGTTCTGTTCAATGTTTTCACAATTAATTCAACCCCAATCTATTTCGGCTTACTATCGGTTCTTAGCATATGAAAACGCCTTACGTTTTATGATTCAAAATTTCATGATTTTTGACAATTGTCAAAAACTATGCCTGCAGAACTAAATTTTTTTTTTTTTTTACATGACCGTTAAATCTGGATAAAACCATCAATTTTCAAGAACTTGCCAACCCTGCCTAATTATATATATATTTTTTAAAGTGCTGAAAAATATTTTTGAGTGCTTGAAAAGTGCTTAAAAGGTGCTTATTTTTTGTTCAAAAATTTGGCTACGCACCCTGAATAAACTTTCTCCTTTTTAAAAAATAAATTTATTGATCTATGTTTCTTACTTGACCAACAAGAAAAAATTTTGTACTTCACTTTTTTTTACTTGATGAAAGAGTGACTGAAATTTAACTTTGTATTGAGTTTGGCTGTATGTTGGCAAAACTGTTTTCTTTACATTACAAAGAATCATGAGAAAAAAATTATATGAAACACTTATGAACACTTCTTAGCAGGGATAGTATAAATTTCTATTGTATATTTATAGAATAGTTAAAATTACTTATTAATTCGTTATTTTATGAAAAGTGTCATTTTTAAAATAAATTTTTTTTATATTAAGAATGAAATTTGTTTGTTTTTTACTTTGATCTGTGGACTGAAATTCAATTTTGCATTTTGTTTGGCTTTATATTAAGAAAACTGTTTTCTTTACAATACAAAGAACTTTAAAATAAAATTATAAGAAGCACTTCTGAACACTTCTTAGCAGTGATGATATAAATTGCCATTGCATTTTTAAAGAATAATTAAACGTGCTTATTAATGTATTATTTTATAAAAAGTGCCATTTTTAAATTAAGAATGAAATTTGCTTGTTTTTTACCTTTATCTGTGAACTGAAATTCAACTTTGCATTTTGTTTGGCTTTATATTAACAAAACTGTTTTTTTTTATATTAATAAGAATTTTAAGATAAAAATTAGGAGTAGCATTTATTAACATCTGTTAGCAGAGTAGATATAAATTGCGATTATATATTTATAAATTAAATTGCTATTTTTTTTCAATAAATTCTGTTTTGGTTAAGAAATATATTTGCTTGAATTTTTCTTTGAACTCTGAACAAAAATTCAACTTTGCATTTTGTTTGGCTGTAATTGGTAAAACAGTTTGGTTTATATTAAAATGGGTCTTAAATAAAATGATAGGTACCTGTTAACATCTCTTAGCAGAGTTGTTGTAAATTAGTATTATTTGCATTTTTATCTGTAAGTAAATATTGTTTGCATTTTTGTGTATTGTTTATTTTAATTTCCTTAAAAAATATGTATTATATTTTTCAGGGAAAAGTTTCTGACAAACAAATTGTGGATAATTTATATCAGAGGTCAGCATATATTCGCCAAAATCAGGTTAAGAATATTTTATTTAATGATTTTAATGAAATACATTTCTGTATACATATCTGATATAGTGTTTTATTAAATATAATATTGATATTTGAAATAACATTGTTATTAAATTGTTATGAACTAAGAATAAATAGTATGAGACCTGGTATTATGCTAGACAAAACACTTATGTTATATGCTGCTTATATTATTTTTATTTTTGATAAGATATTCTTAACTTTTGTTTGAGTTGCAATTGTTATCTAAATTTTAAAAACTTTAAAATGTTTTTGTGATTTTAAAATTATGTTATTTCCCTCTTAAAAATGCCTTACAATAAACATGTCTGCCAACTTGTACGGTTTCGCAGTACAGTGTAAAATATTTTATCCGATGATACGGCTTTACAGGCGCATAAAAGAGTTAAAATCATACGATTGCTTATTTGTTTACAGTTCTTAAGTTTTTTTGAGAATAAAAAATAACAACATGCTTATTTAAATCTTGAATTCAATAGTTTACAAAATTTTAAATACCAATTATAAAACTCTTCACTATAAAAATGAGTCCGAGGCAAGTTGCAATCAAGTTGATTTTGGAGGTCAATCATGTGAAGCATAAACAATCAGTAACCAATGAGAGTGAATATGCACCACAGCGACATGAGCCAGTAGTACCTCATATATTTATGGGATCATGTGACCGTGACTGGTAATATCGATGGATAAGCAATGCTAACTCATCTTACGCCAAGGTTAAGTAAAACTAGATTAAGTAAAACTAAATGCCAATAATTGTCTGATCTCAACTTATAATTTTTTTATTCTCAATATTTATTATTACTTATATGCGGAGGAGCAGAAAATGGCTGATCACATGAACAAGGTTTTAAGGGAAATTCGGAGAGCCACGAGGAAATGTTAGGTCTAAAAAAATTCCTGCAAAAATTTTTCCTAGTTAAAAAATATATTTTAATTTGTGTATTTATTAGTTTGAATTCTTTAAGTGTATAAGAGGGACATTAAGATCATTTTTATATATTATTACTATTTCAATTTCTATAGTGCTTAACACATATGCTCGTTTATTAAGAATTATGTAAAATCAAATTAATTTTTCTCTGATATAAATTATACTTATCATAAATATTTTGAAAAAGTTATTGTACTAAAATTTTGATCCGGTAGAAAAAAAATAACAACTTTGTTTCTAGATGCTTTTCGGCAGCGATGATGTTATTTGTGTTTACAATTTGGTGCGCATGGATTGCAGCATGATATCGTTTTAAAATTTGTAATAATGCCCTCTAAATTTTACAATCAGGCATTTTTAGAATCTTATTATAAAAGCTTTACTTGCATAATTAAGTCCAAAAAATTGCAGCACTATGTGTTTTGTAATATTTGCGGACTAGATTTTAAAATAGCACATGGTAGTAGAAGTGATATAAATGATCGTAAACGCACAAAGAGACTTAAGGGTTTAGAGGAATGTGTAAATAAAAATAAAAACGTCAAGTATTTTGCTTCTGGAAGAGTTGACGATGTAATACGGACCAAAGAGTACCTTGCGTTGTTCGTTGGAGAGCACAATCTAGCTTTTAGTTTTGCAGATCATGCGGGCCCTTTATTTAGGAAAATGCTCCCTAAAAGTGATGTTGCAAAGAAATATGGTGCAGGACGAATAAAAACTGCTGCTATTGTGTCAAAAATAGCAGATGTTAAAAATGCTTCCATTGTTTAATCTCTTCAGAAACAAATGTATGCTGTAGCTACTGAAGGCAGCACTGCTACAGATGCGCAACATTATCGTATAGTTGTGTCTTGCTTCGACACAAAAGCTACCGCAGTCGAGGTATCGCTGACCACAATTTAGATACACAATCTACGTATTAATGATGTAATATTGTATTATAAAATAATTAGTCAAGAATTAAAAAAGAGTTTTTTAATATTGCTTTCAAAATGAAATTTTTAAAAAATATATATATATATATACAAAATTTACTAGTGTATTTTCAGAGGTTTTATAAATTTAGTAACAGATAGTTCTTAATTTTGTTTAAAAATGCCCTCTAATAACACTTTCTGTATGACACTATGTCTAGTAAAACACTTGCCCAGAATTCTAAGGCCATGCAGATTACAATGTTGGCAGGTATGGGTTAATATTTAGTTAATTAAAGGAAACTAATCCATTTGATTTTAGCCTAAGCATGTCTTAACATATGCAAGCGATAAAATGAACAAAAGGAGCACTTTTAGGCCCATGAGTAATCAACAGAGGGTGTATTTATAGTAAAACTTATTAAAAAAATTCCTCTTTAAAAATTGTTTCCATTTAAGTAGTTCTAGTATAGTAGTTTATATTCTGGTTACTGTTTTATGACTTATTTTAACAATACTAAGATAACCTTTTTTAAGAAATGGTGTTTTTTATTTATCCTGTGCTGAAGAGTTTCTTAGACTATCAACTAAAATCATCTGAAAAAAAGTAAACTTTTATAATTTTTACAAATGAGACTTATTGCGAAAATAACCTTTGCATTCATAAAAAAACTCTTGGCAGTCTTGAATTGTTCTTAAAAGAGGGATTTTTTACTATTAATTTTAATTTTGATAAATTATTTTTTGTATGTAGTTTTTTTAATAATATTTAAGTCTGTTAATATCAAAGTTAAATTTCAATTAGTATTACAGTGTATGACTGTATAACATAAAAAAGAAGTTCTGCAAACCTTTCTTATAATATACATTTATGATTTTTTATAAAAATAACTTTTGTTTACATGTTTAGAAAGCTTTACCTTTTAAGAAATTTTTCTTTCACCGCCACGAAAAGCTTCTTGAACAGATTTTATTGTACTTCAAAATATCATCAGAAAATTAAATTTACTCTTTAGTGGAAATGATTTTGTTGTTTTATTTATAACAAAGATACAGTTATGTTTTTAAGTACTATATTTAAGTATTTTATTTTTTATAGCTTATTGTTGATTGGCTTGAAAAGAATGCAGATGAAGATTATCAGCACAATCAATTTGATAAGTTTGAATATTTTACTGATGAATGTTTTGCATTGTAAGTGATATTTATGATATTTATAAGTTATGATTTTTTATGTGCATACATTAATGTCACTTTATTTTCATTATTATAGAGAACATACTATGAATGAATTGATTACTTCAAGTATCAATACGGGAAAATTTAGCTTCGAAATGGATCCTGATGCTCGTTACCGCCATGATCATAATATTTTACATGAAACTGATAAGGTAATGATAAGTTCTGCATGTGTGACAGTTTTAATAGTAATATATTTCTTTATTAATAATTAGAAAATTTAAAAATTAAAAGCTTTGTCTGTACACATTGTTTCCATCCTAAACATTGCATTTATAGACAAGGCATAGATATCTAGCACAGTATTTGCAAATTGTAATGTAGTTTATGAAGCTGATTTCAAATCTGGAAATGTTTTTGCTCTATCATGTCCGATAATTGAATTGGAATAGGGAACTTTCATGCACTGGGCACAAGGACTACATATTTTTGTTACAGATCCTTGAAATAGATTTAAGCAAAATTTAAATTTAGAAAAGTTCTACTGGTTTGCAATGATTGAGTATGAAATGAGGGATAGTAAATTGTAATAGTGTAGTTAAATCCTAAAAAATTAAAATTTGTTAAATTTATATTAGAATGAGCCTTTTAAGATTCGATGGTAATGCTGATTTAAATATTAACATACTTACTATATATTGGGAAAAATATGATTTGTGTTATTAATGTTTGCAATCTGGGATATGATTCAAGTTTTTCTACTAAGATTTCAACTTTCATGTCAGATAATAAGAAACTCATATTTATATTTAAAATTTGAATTTATTTTCTCTGTTATTTTTATTAAACATTGTATAAAAAATTTTGTTTACTTGTCTTCAGATTTTGTTAATCTTTGGCATTATTTTATTTTAAAGGAAAATGAAGATCGTCTGTTTAAATTTATGTTCATGTGTGTTCGAGCTGGAAAACTAGATGCTGTAAGCATTTGAATTTAACTATTATTTTGAAGAATTGATTATGTATGTTACGTTCTTTAAAATTTTCTCTGATATAGTTTTATGTAGTATAGGTTTTGAAGGCAAAGTTTGTTTTCAAGAAATGATATGGACACTTCAATTACCTTACCACAAATATTCATTTTTCTTCAGCTTTCATTGTAAGGTACAGCTTGCCTGATTGAAACTTTTATTGAGACTTGCCTTCTGACTGATTCAGATACTAAAATGGATATATCATAAAATTTATCATTACGTCAGAACATTTACATTCATGCATGGTTTTTATTTTTTGAAACTCAGTGAAACTGTTTGCAAAGAAAATATGCATTGGTCATCAATGCAACTATGCCTTAAACTAGTTAACTTAAACAAATTTATCTAATATGATTTGATAAATCTTACTTTTGTAAAACATTTATTAGTGACAGTACAGTAGAGAACCATTTATCCGGTATTCAGATAACCGGGAAAAATTTTGATCGGTTTTCCTGCCATTTTAAACTAGAACTATTATGAAAGAAAGCGGAAATGAACTCATCCTTGAAGTTGAGTAGAGGAAAATGTAAGGAAGGGAGAATTTTTCCCCCCGTTTACCCAGAGAAACGTCATATCCTCCGTGACCTTGAAGGCAGGGATAGGAGGAATGCTTTATTTTCTCCTTTAGGCCGTCAATCAAGCTCAAGGGTGTGGCATGCTGATTTCGTTTTCTGTTTAATTTACGAGGGGGGTGGGGAAAATGCATTGCATGCATATCAGTGAACAGAAGATGAAAGAGAAAAATATATTTATCTATTTGACATCGATTAATAAAAATAAAATCTTTTTCTTCTGAATAAATTCAAGTGCGGTATCATTTGCAAGTTTTTATTGATGTGGAATCACATCTGCTGTAATTAAATATCGTGTTTTTATCAACAAAAAAAAAAAAAAAAAAGGACAATTGTTTATTAATTTAAACATAGGATTATTTTATGAAGCAGATTGCAGTTTTGTTTTTCTGATTCCACTACGTTTGATTTTTTTTTCTTTTCACGATAAATTTCGCACTCAATAAATTAATTCTTTTTATTCATAAATTTTATCATTAGGTTTTTTTTTTAAATTCCGTTGATCTTGCCTTGTTCCGGGTTTTAATATTTATGCTAGTGCCTTTTTTAACTATCGTTTCGGTTCGATAATTTTCAAGTGTTTTTATTTAGATTAATAAGTTTTCCTTTTATTTTATCGTTTCCCCCCGTATAATTAGGTATGAAATATATTGCGTTATTTAATCATTGGTTTTGTTTATATTATTTAATTTAGGAATTGTAATTATTTTTAAAAAATAAATATGAGAATTTTGTATTTTTTAAACTTGATTTTCTTGTCTAAACTTGCAAATTTTTTTATTCTTTTAAATGTTATTTTTCTACCATTTTTTTTCTTTTTAAAGTTAGGAGTACCTTTCTTTTTTCTCTTACTTTAAGCATTACACTTTTTCCTTGTAATTCGGGTTGATAAAACATCGATTAACGACATTTTTTGGTTGATCCAGAAAACCGGGAAATTCAGACATCCGGGATAGCGATGGTCCCGAGCATCCCGGATAATTGGTTCTCTACTGTACTTTTTTCCAGGAACGTCTTATTTATTTAGAAATTTTAACTCCTGTATATTGACTTTCACAATATAGTTTTGCAACTGTAAATTTATATTACGGAACATTCTTTTGCTTTAGATTGAAGCTCTGTAAACAGGACATCCTTACATCCATCTGTACATTTACGTTGAGAATTTTCTCAACTACAGTTTTGGTGCTATGTAATAGACAGTCACCTTTACATTTGTTTTCTTCCTGCTTTGAGAACTTTACTAACTGTTTACCTTTTAGTTAATGATATAAACGTTTCATCTTTACGTCTGACACCATTTATATTTCATGTTCATATTATGTTCCAAATTTAATTGTAGGGCATGTAACAACTGTAATTTATATTGTGCTATATTCTTCTGTCATAACTTGAAGCTCTGTATATAGCACATCTGTACATTTACACCTGCACATTTATATCAATGCAACCCAGGGTCACTCTCGGGGTTGTTTTATTTGAAGGTGTCCTTTGCTCATCACAATCTATTCGTTTTCTTGTATTGATAAGGCACAAGTGTGCATTTCTCGAATACCCCTATAGGTGCTGGGTTAAGTTAAAGTTAAAATACATAGTTTACTCTTTTTCATTTCTATGAGGAATAGTGTTTCAATGAACTAAAAACTTAACTTATTGTAGGCCCAAAACCTGGCTGAAAAATTCGGGCAACCTTGGGCAGCTGCAGTCCTGGAAGGTTGGAGGTTGCATCACGATCCTAATTTTGATACAGACGTAATGGATGGACAAGAACTGTTACCAGTTGAGGGAAATAAATACCGAGATTTGTGGAAAGGCGCATGCTGGGTTGCAAGTGAGCAGGTAATGTCCTTTTTTTAAGCTTAGTTTTATCTTTATTGGGTCGTGAGTTATTGATATATAATCTTGAAGTGTATGTCTGATTTGTACAAAGAATTTAATTTAGAAAAAGTTTGTGAAATACTAAAAAATTTTGACAAAATCAATACGAGTTTGAAATTTTCATGTTTTCTTTTAAAAGAATATTTATGCAATAGATTTATATTAAAAATTCTATTAAAAAAATTTGATATATGTTACATTTTTTAAAACACTAAAATGAAAATTTTTATTTTTTATGTCAGGTGATCTTTAAACATGATTCTAATTATGTTAATATTGTTGCAGAAAAAGTTATTTACATTTGTTGTTTTGAAAATATTAAAAGTTTATGTGCTAGCATTATTTAATTTTACAAACATTTCCTGTAACAATTCTATGTCATATTTGGGACTTGGTTCTTTATTTTTTTCATGATAGAGAATTACACATTCTGGGAAAGCGTCATAAGTTTTGTTTCATCTTCCTTATAATTTTTTTTGTGCATTTGATGCATTATAGAGCATAAACGGAATCACTGATCTTGGGTCGCCTCATCACTTTCTCTAAATAGCATCTTTTGATGCTTTAATATACTTTTAATTTAGATATTTTTTATACTTTTTATTGTACTTAATTTATGTACTTATTATAGTTTTAATATTTCTTAATTTATTTATTCTTATACTTTGAACCAAAAAATTTGTAGAGTATTGGTATTTTTCTCAAAAACTAAAAGGCATATGTAAATATAATACAGTCATATAATTTGATTTTAGTTTTTGTATTATTGTCTGTGCATTAAAATTGTACACCATACTTTTGACCACATCACTGGATATTAGATAACATCAAATTAAGAATAATAATTGTCTTTATGTGATTTTCAGAGATGCTAACTTTCCAAACTAGCTATCAGTAATCAAAAGTATAATAACACCAAAAGTATATCATTTCAAAATTTAAATTTAATGTTAAGGTGTATATATTTAATTTTATGTAGGCATTCTTTATTAAATTTTAAAATCTAGTTGATTACTTCCAATCAAAGTTCTGGTTTTTAGGTTAAATTAGAACTAGCCCTTATTGATATTTTATTATCCTGCATTTAAACCATTTACTCACAGCATTTCAGATTTGAGTTTAACTTCTTTTTCTTTTCTACAAGTAGAAAAGATTGAGCTTCATGATAGCTTGTTGGAAAGATGATATCTTTGCTTTCTTTTATTTCTTGTTTCTATCAAATTGTTTTTACGATTGTTTAAGGAATAAAAACAATTATCTTTGGTTAGTTGCAAATATCAAAATTTTTTAATTATTAGTATAACTTTTAATCTTTTTTCTTTGTCTAAAGAATTAAAAAAAAAAAAAAACAATATTAACAGATTATTACAGAAATTTTCAAAAATTCTAATTTTTGTTATTCCATCTTAGCAGCCATGATTATGAAATTGTAATAATTAAGGATAAATCATCATAGTTGACAATTCTAAATTTCATAAAGAGACTGTTATGCTGCTTTTCATTCCATAACCTATAACTCTGACCAATATTATTTGACGAAACAATTGTTACATTTCTATTTTCTTTATATTTGCAGCCTGTTGTTCCCATGCATGAGCAAGCCTTGTACGGATCATTATGTGGAAACTTAAAAGCTGTTTTGCCTGTCTGTAAAACATGGGAGGACTACTTATGGGCATATACCAAAACCTCTTTAGATAAACTTATTGAGCAGGAAATTCGTAATTCTTACCAATCAGATAGAAGCTTAGAAGACCTTCCTGCAGAATATTGGGATAACATGTAAGTTTTAGATTTTGATATTTTAATGAAAAATAACTTGTAATGAGATTGTTTAAGAATTTTTTTTTATCTGAAGCTTTAATTCTATGAGGTATCAGTTTCTATTTTCTTTTCATTTTTAAATTTTTTATTTCTCTATAGCATGGGTGTTGCAGGGCCCCAATTTTTGAGGAGGAGGAAATTAAGTAGTCATAATAGTTCCCTAAATTTCACATATAAGAAAAAAATTCTTAAATGTGCTTTTTATCTGAAAAAATATTAAGTTTTTTTTATGTCTGTTTTTAACTTAAAAAGAATTTAAATTAATGATTATTTACATATTTTTTTATTGGTTCAAAATATTGAGGGGAACTTTTAGAGGTTTCTTATTGAGAGAGAATGATACACCCCTCCCATTAATGATCCTGTCAACCATTAATGAGCCTAATCAACCATTTTAGTTAATGTGTTGCATTTCTGCACCAAGAAATGCGTAATTTAACAGGCCGTAAATCTTTGTAAATCTTTTATATTTATTATTTTTCACATACTAATAAATTGAATTGTAATAAATAATTAATAATGTTTTATTATAATTTTTTTAGTTTCTACACAAAGAAATGTGTAATTTAACAGGACAATATTTGTAAAGGTTTTATCTTTAATACTTTTCTATTATTAATAAATTAAATTGTAATAAATAATTAATAAAATTGTTTTTTAATGTTGGTGATTATTTTATAACGAGCAAGTCTTAAAATTTAGTCTTAAATACTTTTGTTTTACAGAATTGGGCAAAAAACAATAATAGCATTAAGAGATTTAAAATTTTGACCACTCTTGACTAAATTAATGGAACTAATTATTTTCTAGATAAAGATTACATTCTCTTTATAAAGGTTTCAGGTTGCATCATTATTTGCTGCAACTACTATAGAATCTCTATAGCGTCAAAAATATTTTCCCTGACAGTAGTAGATTTAAAATTTTATCTTTTATAACTTATATTTCAAAGAAATTTTTCAAAAATCTATCACTGCAAATCACTGTCTATCACAACAAATAATTAATTTAAACGGATATATAAAAGTTTAAATAACAGATGTTGAAATACTCAAGATCTGATAAAAAGTTTTAAAATTTTTTATTTGTTTTAAAACTTTTTGTTTTTGTTCAATACGACTGGGAAAAAATACTTCACAACAACCTCAAATGCAAGGGCTACCAACTACTAGACCTTTTGTAAAATATCTTAAAGAGTGCTAAACAATTAGAAACTATAACTTTTAGAAGATTTTGTAATCTTGCCTCCTCATGAGAGAGGTGGAACAAAGTTGCATTTTATGTGAATTTGTAAATTATATACACGTAGTAGCATGGAAAATAGCCTTAAATCAAATTTACAAAATAAAGAATCATATGTTTAAACTTAGCTTCCATTAGAAGAATTTTTCACCAAAAGCGTAGAAAGTTGACAGCCCTGCAAATGTTGGTGTGTGTGCAGTATTAAAATCTACTCAGATTACTCTATTAAAATTTTGAGAAAAAAAGTTATCTTTATTTAGAAAAATATGCAATTTAATGACCCAGAATATATTACGTGCGAGGACTACAATTTCTTAATTGACAATAATTTTTTTGATGTATTTAAATTAGTAAAATTTGAAAAGACTTTATCTTCTTCTAAGAATGAATTTTTTTATTTTATTTTAAATACAAGACATACATTACGTACAAAAATCTAGTAAATAAAAGAATGTCATCGCAATAATAAAACATTTAAACACGAGATTTTAGAATATTTTTTATTAAAAATATTGTAAAATCTGTATAAAGAAAAATTTTTTAAGTAATTATATTTATGAAATGAGTTGATTTCTTACATCGTGACTATCTACAAAAAATGAATCATATTTAAAATAGAGCAATCAATCATGTTATTAATAATTTTATAGAAAAATATTAAACAAGACAAATTTCTATGACTCTAAACATTGTTTAAATTGCTACTTCTTTCATCATCTAAAATATATATATTTAAGAATAAGTCATTTAATTTATAAATAGTTTCATTATTAATGTTTATAATTTAAAAAATTGATATTTGCAATTAAAAAACCCTTTAGCTTTCTAATTATGATAAATTTTATTTAAATATTCATATATTCATTAGTTTAGTTTGGTCATTTAGATTTTATTTTTATTATTTATAAATTAGTTGTAGAATTTATATACTTGTGTTGAAATGAATTATATTTATACTTTTTTTTCTTATGTATTTCAGTTATGATACTGAATATATATTTCAAGAATTGGAAGCTAGTAATCTTACTGTAAGTTTAGTTGTTTAGTTTATTTTTAGTAATTTAAATTATAAGATTTAATTTATAATGGTTGTTGAAGAGGCAACTCATTTTTTGGAGAAAAAGACTATTAATGTTAATTTTTCAACCCTTGTAATTTTGAACTCAACCCAGAAGATAAAATATGCATCAAGCGTAGGAAACTTTTGATCACGATTTTTTTTCACGAAAGTCTTTTTGATCTAACTAACCTACTTTTGTGTAATATGGAGAAGAAAATCACAAAGAGATTTCATGGTTTGTCTAACGGCAAGGGGGCTCTAACCCATGATCTGTCTAAAACTGATGACATTTTACGTTAACACTGTGGTTGGTACCACTGGGGAGCAGAATATGTATCAACCAGACAGCTTTGGGATTCGAACCTGGGTCACCTTATTGGGAGGCAGGCACAGTATAGATTTTGTGTAGGGTAATAATTAAATGAAAAACATGTTAGAAAACAATCAAATTTCAGGTTAATATTATGTCATGATATGTAAACATCATTTTATAATGGAAGTATAGATCTCCATGGATGATGTCATTTTGAAGGAAAAATCTATAACGTTTTATTTTTATGCTTTACATTCACTGAAGTATCTCTAAATGTGAATCTTTGAATCATGAATCTGAACCGATTTATTATTTATTTCAAGTACTTTCCTCAATAGCTCTTTACCAGATTTTGTATACGCACAAAGAGATTAAAGGATTTAGCTGAATGTGTAAATGAAAATATCAAGTATTTTGCTTCTGGAAGTGATGACGATGTAATACAGACCGAAGTGTACTTTACGTTGTTCGTTGGAGAGCACAATCTAGCTTTTTTTTTACTTGCTTAAATATTAATTTGTAACTCGCACTCTAAAGAATTCTAAAAATATATATCAAGTTTGACTCTTGGGCAGCATCTGTATTTTTTTAAAAATATTTTGTGAGTGCTTTATTATAGAGTAATTTCTGATAAGTGATTTATCTTAAACTGCAATGTAACGCTTGTTTTTTTAGAAAGTCAAACAAGACTGCAAAAACCCTTATCATGTGATACAGAAATATATTATATTGTATGATTTAGGCGGTAAGTTGAATATTATTACCTTATGTATCTGTTTAATTGTTATTACATAAATTTTTACTCTTTGATCAACTTAATGGTGTTTTTGTGAAATTACTTTTTAAAAATACATTTACAGTAGTTTCTCTTTTCTGCTCTTATTTATAAACTCTTATATTCTTGTGTATAATTCTTATATTTTGTATAAATCTTATATTCTTTTGTATAATTTTTATATTCTTATGTGATAAATGTGTATGTAGATTGGTGGAACTTAACATTACAATTTATAGTGTGAATTTTGATTGCAATTAATATTTGTTTTTGTGAAATCTTACGAAATTTTCATATTAAATTTTTAGGTCTTATTGAGGAAATGTACAGTTGGTTAAATAATCGTGCTTTAGATGGTCATATATTGAGGCTGATGGCTCATATTATCCTCTTTTTGCGAGTCATTGGACGATCTACCAAAGAAGAACTGTGCATTCCTATATTAGAAACTTATGTTCAGGTACCAAAATTGTAAATTTTTTTTGACCTTACATAAAATCATGCAGAGGATTTTTATTTAAATTTCTTTTCATCATTTTATTTGAGTTTCATTTTGTTTATGTGTAGAATACAAAATTATTGAAATTTTTTTTTAAAATTTTTACTAAATTTATTGAATTTTACTCCATTTATACCAAATGTTAAAGTCTTGGTTATGTTAATTATTTCTTTTTTTTATTTCATATTATTAAAGGAACTTATAAAATCAAACAAACGAGCTCTTGTGGCCCCATATACTTCAACTCTACCTAAAGAACAACAAATAATGTGGTACGCCAAATTCCTTGAAGGTAAGGATTCCTTTTCATTCAATTACTAATAATGATGATATACTTTTTTTGTTTTTATAAAATTATGAATACGATTTTTAAATAAATTTGATGTCTTAATTTTAAATAATTTTACGATTTTTAAATAATTTTGATGCTGTAAGGATTCATTATCTGTGTATCAATGCATGTAGACCAAAACATTTATATTACTGATTGTACAAGATAAGTAAATATATATTGTACAAGTTAATAACAATTCCTAACCTTTAAATGAATGTTATACAAGAAGCAAAAGTAAGATTTATAAGATAGTATTTGATAACCTGATCATTCATATTATTTTCTAATTCTTCAATCATTTGATGATATTATTTCATTATAATTATAAGCTATAATAATCTAAATAGTTAAGAAAATAAAATTAATAATCTAAATAATCAGAGTTGGCAAGGTTTAGGACAGAATGGATTAAACCATGGTTTAATCCAGGGTTTAAACTGTCTTGTCTAAAACCCCTTTGTCCAAAACCCTTTTATTCAAACTATGTCATAATTTAAGAAAAATATTGTGAAAAATAAAAGGTTAATTTTTGAACAAGAAACAAAATGAAGACAAATTTTTATTTTGTTAAATTAATTTTTATTTATTTTATTATTTTTTTAATATTCCATTATTTATCCTTATACAAAAATATTATTTATCATTATTAAAAGAATATTTATTCATATTGATAAGGTATTCACTTTTGTTGCTCAATAAATAATCCTCCTAACATGAATTAAACTAATATGAGCCATTGAATGGTGAAATAAAACTAAATTGCTAAATTAAACTATTTATTAAAAACTTTAAAATAAGAACTGAATTAGAACATACTTCAAACTTCCAAAATAGTTGGAGAAAGAAAAGTATGCACCCTGAAATTCACATAAAATCCAAAGTAAACATGCTGTAGCGAAATCGCTAATCCAACTGACAAGCAGGCAAAATATTCTAGTTAGCAAGAGTTTCAGAGCGCATGCGTTACAAATCAACAAATAATAAATAAGAAAAGATTTCTCCTAACACGTTATTGTTAGATTATTCATCTACGGCTGAGCATCCTTTAATGAGTTAAAGCAAAGTGTATAAAAAATATCAAATATTTATTAATGTATATAATTATCATGTGTACAATGATTATACATTTTGCCTTTTACCACTTGTTCAAGGTTTTGAACACTTTAAGACAGTAAATTCTCGTATTCTGTCCAAAACCAGTCTAAGGGGTCCAAAACCCCAACCCTGTAAATAATTAATTGATATGTTAAATGTAATACATTTTTGGGATTTCAAAATTTGCATAATGAGTAAATTGATTAATTGTAAAGCCATTTATGGAATATGATTTTCTGGATAATAAAATGCTAGAAAATAAATAAAAAGTAATAATGATGTGATCCTTGCAAAGGGTACAGGGGTTCGAAAGGACCCCAATTTAACAGAGAAGTAACATGACTTACAATGAAAATCACCAACTAACCTAATGATGCATATTATTTTTTAATTTTTTAATCATATGATTTTGAATCATTTAATCATATGGCAAAGTGATCTACAAAGTCCAGTATGCGACTTCTATGCCCTGGGGCTTTTAAATAGTTTTTTCCTTTTTAATTTTTGGTTGAAGAAAAAATTGCTTTAAAAGCATCCTTCTAAAAGGGATTTATAAATAAAACTTTTTAATTTATTATTAGGAGTGACTGACAACAGTGAGCGTCAAAAGTGCCTTCAATATGCAGAAGATGCTGGGTTGGATGTATCCCAAATTACAAAAACAGTTGTTAAAAACATTAGAGAGAAAGAAGTTATCAAAAAGGATAATGATTCAGATTTGACTGCTGCAACGACGGAAGTAAGCATATTAATTACTATGCAGGTATAGTTTGTCTAAAGTAAGAATTGCCCCAACCATTCGTCTGGTGGTGACTATGGCTACAATGTCCAACTATTTCAAGTAGCGGTGTGGGGTCATTGTTTACGACAGGTTTTGATTCTGTTGGCGTGAGGATGAGAATTTTTTTCTTCAGTGTATTGTGTTAGCCCTAGAGTGAAGAGAAGCTACCCTCCTCGAAATGTGCTATTCTTGTTCTCATAGCAGCAGACGCCCTCATATTTTGTGGCGGGGGGGGG